CAAATTCAATTATTTCTTTTAACAATAAGTACAATTTCCAAAATGGATCATTATATGATTTACATTATGTCCAATAATTACTCCAAAAAGTTGACAAAATTTAACATTTCTGAGGCTGTCATTTTAAACTTGCTTTTTGTTGCAAAATCATTTGCAATACAAGATGGTTTGTTTTGTACATTTGGACCATAATCGAACATTTGTAGGCTATAATTGAGACCTGACAAAGTAAAATCACCAATCTGAATAAAATGATTTGTTATTGGAATCATATCGTAATGAGCAATACCTTCTAGAACATCATGCATGATATCAACATAAGCATTGTCTATAACATGAAATGAAGTGATTGCATTAAAGACATACTCCTCTTTGATTCCACTAAGTGAACTGTTTGCTAAATCTAAGTCTATATTATATGACGCATGTGTTCTAAAAATAGATTCATCTTCAAGGCAAGTAGTCTGAGACATAGTACGATGAATTTTGCAAAATCTACATGTATAGTTTGCTCGAAAACTTTCAACAAATCCACACATGGTGTGAAGGCCTAAGTTATCGCCCAATAGTAAACCTAGCACAAAATAAATTTTATGAAGATTCCCATTAACAGTAATTGTTATTCCGACCTGTTCTAAAAAATTCAATTCCTCAATTAAAGGTGCAAATGTTTGTTTATTTCCAAATTCTTTACGGTCTTCTGTGTTAAACAAGAGAGCTAAAAAGATATTTTCCAATCGAGATACACATTCAGGCGGCAAACATGGTATTTAATAATATACTCCTCCAAGAGAAGTACTGTGAGATCCTAATGGATTGTTCACTTCCCAATCATCATAATACACAAACAATGGGAAAACAATAGCATCATCTTCGAAACTTTTTTTTTCTCACGCCAAAGTTTAGATTGAACAAAATTCGTAATGGTATCTGAATCTTTCAGCGAATTAATATAATACATTGTGGCGGTAAAAACGTCGGGCAATTCAAAAAATTTTTGTAACATTTGTCTTAAAGGTATGAAATAACCGCAAATATCTTTCACATGTTCCACAATACATGTTCCAGTATTTTTACGAACTTTTTTTACCTATATAATATTCTACAGGAACTATATAATTACCGCAAGATATCAAATATTCCATACGTTGATATTCGTTTCTAAGATGATGAAAAGATTTCTATTGTATCAAACATTGATGTGATATCTTGTATTATTTGATTATCAGAATTAAGTGCATTCAACTGTGAAAGAATCTTTTCTTTTAAAAGAGAAATATGACTTGTTAAAAATAATCTGTTATCCTCGATAATAGCTTGAATGTGATTCCGTGGAATGGAAGATCTATTGTATAATTTTGCAACAAAAGCATCACAACAATTTCTTATGAGAGATTTAAATTCAGTAGGAGTTATCGATAAACCCTTATCATTAGTAACTTCTGGTGAGACTGTTTCAATATTTGTATTTTTATGGCAAATTATAGATTTACTGATCACTTCTATGTTAGTAGATTGCACAGATTGCATATAAGCATTCTGTGTAGCAACAGGCCACAAAGGAAAATTATGATTTGACCCAAGCAAATGTCTTCATAATGAATTCCATGAGGACCATTCTCTAATGCACCCATTTTCGCCGCATTTAAATACAGTACATGAATTAACATAATGTTTAACGTTAAAATGCGTTAATAAACTGTTTACAGAATGTACAGTTTGTTTGCAAATAAAACAAGTGGGCATGATGCAAGTGTGTATTTTTTGTAATAGAGTGATTAAGATTCTAATGATTTATATTCTTGAATTGTTGTCAAAACAGCAGAACTAAGCTGCGAATTTTTATGTTTATCCCACAAAGTTTCAAATTCATATATAGCTCTTTGCAAAAACATAAATAGCTGCCCTACTTCTAAGGGATATCGAATGTTTAAAGCGTTACATGATTTGAAGACTAAGTCCACGGCTTTTAATGGTGTTTCCACTTCATATCTGAATGTATTGATGACAACAAAACATTGCTTGATTTCGTCGAAAGAAGGACCTATTATCACTACAATAGGTTGTAAGGGCTGACCAAATGCTTGTAATTTTGCTGTTCGTTCCTGCAATCTTGTTTCAAGATCTGCGATTGTCTATGAAAGAAATAATTATTATTAACACTTATATATTTTCATTTCAATGTTGAAAATGTTTATTCTATAAGGAAATAAGAAACAATAAGAAGTACAATGATTGGCATGGATTGAATAATAATTGGCAGTTCTAAATGTTTCTGCTCAAAAGAGCTGAATTGCGCGATATGATATACAGTAATTGTTCGAAAGAAAAGATATAATTATAAATTATAATTGATAAATGATTATCGCCTATCATATAAATATATGTAATTCAGTTTCTTCAGCTGCAACATACTGGACCTGTGCTCATAACATTGCTTCTGCCAATCATTGTATTATGCTTTTTATTTAAAAAAATTTTTTAAATTCTTTTAAATTAATTTTATTTTATTTCTATTCTTACGTTTACGTGCAGAAGAAATCCTTCTTCAGATTCTTTTCTAGAGGGTCTCCAATTACATGCTTTGCCGTTTCTTATCGTATTCACAGGGAACAAATAAGGAATCAAGAATAAAGTTTAACAATTTTCTCACCATCTATCGAAATATGAATTTATATAAAAATATAAAAATAAAGCTGCATCATTGTCAAAGGACACTATAAAATATCTGACCTCGTGTAAAGACATCATCAAAACGATTCTTTAATTTAGATGTCACCTTATTGATTACAAAGTTTGATATTTTTTGCCAAGCAACATATAATTTTAAATTACGATCTGGATATAATGTTTCGAAATCTTTCTCCAGCTAAAAATTATACAGACATACTATAATATTTTATACACACGCACATTTTTAATTATTAATATTATTAATAAATATATATCCGCGATACAATGTTCAAAATTATAAAAAAAACATTGAAAAAAGAAACATTAGTAGGAATAGAAAAATATAATACTTCTTGAAGCGGCGTGGAATAAATATAAAGCAGCGTGAACGTAAGCGAAGTATCGGCGGTAGCGGAATAATTATCTGAACAAAAATACAATTTATAACGTTTTTAAATATAGATACTCATAATTGAAGGAATGAAATATATCAAACTCACTAGTATGTAGCCTAAAGGATCAGAAAGGGCTGGAAACTGAATCATGTATTCGTGACAAGACTGATTATTATTAGTTTGAAGAACTTTCAATCGTTTTTTCGAAGTCAAAGACCAGTACTCAGTCACTGTCTGCCATTGTCTAGAATTATTTTTTAGCCATAATATACATTCTTCGTAATTCATAACATTATCATCATCACTTTCTTCAGCTACAAAAACATAAATAAAAATATTATGTGGAAAAAAATACTAAACTAAAAAAAAAGAAATACTATACTATACTGTCTTTACTTGCAAAACATTTGTTGTTAGTTGATACAAATATCATTAAGACTCTTTTTAACTGATTGCAGTCATATTGGTTTATGATGTCAGAAGCAAGGAATCATCTAAATTTCTTTTATGCATTATACAAATTAAATAATTTTTCTGTGCGTTACTATCCATGTTCGATAATATAAGCTGGTATATGACCGAACACGGAGAAAAATTTTTATTTTAACGTATAAC